GGAGATGGGAATCTCCCAAGGGGGCGGCGGCCAGGGGGGTGGAGTGCCCACTAGGGGCTGGTTCCCTCCCACTTCAGCCCACGGGGCCCTCCGGGATAGGTGGCCCCACCTGGTGGACCCTCGGGACCCTTTCGCTGGTCCCGGTACAATACCGGGTGACCCCAAAACTTTCCCGATGCCCGAAACAACACTTTCTATATATAATTCTTTACCTCCGTACCATTCCGGAACTCCTCGTGACGTCCGGGATCTCATCCGGGACTCCGAACAACATTCAGTTTGCTGCATACTCATATTCATACAACCCTAGCGTCACCGAACCTTAAGTGTGTAGACCCTACGGGTTCGGGAGACATGCAGACATGACCGAGACGGCTCTCCGGTCAACTCGTACCGTAATGCATGATCCCGTGACCAGACACTTGGTCACATTGAGCTCATTATGATGATGCACTACCGGGTGGGCCCAGTGATACCTCTCCGTAATACGGAGTGACAAATCTCAGTCTCGATCCGTGTCAACCCAACAGACACTTTCGGAGATACCTGTAGTGCACCTTTATAGTCACCCAGTTACGTTGTGACGTTTGGCACACCCAAAGCACTCCTATGGTATCCGAGAGTTACACGATCTCATGGTCTAAGGAAGAGATACTTGACATTGGAAAATCTCTAGCAAAACGAACTACACGATCTTGTGCTATGCTTAGGATTGGGTCTTGTCCATCACATCATTCTCCTAATTATGTGATCCCGTTATCAACGACATCCAATGTCCATAGTCAGGAAACCATGACTATCTGTTGATCAATGAGCTAGTCAACTAGAGACTCACTAGGGACATGTTGTGGTCTAAGTATTCACACGTGTATTACGATTTCCGGATAATACAATTATAGCATGAATAAAAGACAACTATGATGAACAAAGAAATATAATAATAATCCTTTTATTATTGCCTCTAGGGCATTTTTTCAACAGAAACATCCAGGGTACATAGGCTTAGGCCTCAAGTACCATGTAAGCATCTCGTGAGCGAAATCACCCAAATAGAAAATGATTACGTACATCAAGATAGTTGTAAGAAGAGTAAAAATGAAAAAGGGCGGCATTTGGATGCATAAAACATAAATAAGAGGTAAGCCTAGCTCCCCGCTAATGCTCTTGTATATGGTTAGAAGCAAAATCAAAGTACCAATAGCAGTGCAATTTAAAAGACGAAACACTACTACAGAAAGACAAAAAAAGATAATCAAATTTGAAGTAGCAATCATGGTTAAAATCTGAACTAAATCAGAATTGAAAAAACGAATTGAGGTCACCTCAGGCTCAACGCTTGTCCTTCATCACCTAGAGTCCAACATGACTTTAGTTGCAGAGCAAATTAAAATGTAAAATGGTTTCATTTTTCTACCGACTGCAGGTAGAGACAAAATAACAAAATCACCAGCTCGGGAGCAGGAAAAACCACTTAAGTAGCAAGTAGGAACCAAACAACAAAAAAGATTGTGTAATTACTCGCTAAGAAGAAAGATGTCATAAGGCGAAGAAAGCACAATCTCAAATAAGATATGTCTAAAGGGGAATGTTAATAGGAGAGCAAAAAAGGCAAATTGATGAAAAATAGGTAACACCCTCCCCCTCAGCGTATGATTACCTTTCAAGAAAAAACAGGTTCAAATATGTATAAATATCGGGTCCCATGGAGCTCGAGCTCCAAAAGGCACTGGATAATAATTCAGAAACTGCACTAATAAAAATATGTAATGGAAGTATGGTGAAAATACAGAGGCAAAAATGTCTCTTACTAAATCCATAGGTATAAAATAAGGAACGGGACACAACAAATACAAGTTAACAAAGAAGCGCATTGTTGAACCAAAGAGTAGAAATGTTTCCAAGCAACAATGAGGGCCATAGACAAGCTAGTGTACCTTCTACATGTCAAGAAAAAATGTAAGAGCGGATCATCTCAGCATATATACACCTAGCTCTTCTACTTTTTTGATAATATTGGATCTGGGGCATCTCGTTCTTCCAAATAGAATGTGAAACCAATCTGTCTTGCAGTAAGAAGAAAACATATGCTCGCCACAACCTTGGAAAAAATATAGGTGAAATATTTAAATTTTCCAGTACGCACTGATCTTAACTATATAACTAAGACAAAGTAAGATCTAGCTGCATAGGTTCAGCACACATGATAACACGTAACAAAGCAATAATGCTAACTAAGCAACGACTATGGCCCATGTGAAAAATTGAGATATCTTACTAATGCTTTGCTAAGGTACAAAAGGACATATGTTAAGTAAAGGGGGTTCATGATCTTTTAAGTAAAATAAAGAACTGCTGAAGGAACTCAAGCCTCCAAGCCGGGGTCACAACCTTAGTAATTCATTGATCGGAGAAACAAGCTAATTAATCAAGCTAGTTATGCTGAAGCAAAATCAGTTCATTAAGTAGACAGTAGAAGTCTTGCACTTTCTGCATCTATCATTGGTACAAAATAACATATGCCCCACCACAGAAGAGTGCTAGGCTGTACGGAAGCAGCAGAATAAATGGCAGTAGCTAAAGAAAATGTGTTCGCCGCAATACCCTAGGCACCAACTCATTGGAAATCGATCCTATGGGTAAAATATAATGATATCTAGGAATCAAACGAGTCTAATTTACATTAAACTGTTGAAGCTTTGTAACTATAGCAACATATAATAGTATATATTAGTGTAACAACCGCAGTAGGTGCAACTACCTAATGCCATTGCGACAAAGAAAATGCAATGGCTCCTGTGACTGTCGTCCCTTAACTGAAGAAAACATCAAATAAATTGAACCATCATGAAGTGATGTTGCCAGGCTCCATACAAGCAATAAATGCGATGGCCACAAAGTGGATGAATTGTCAGGGAAATGTTTTTCTTCAGAACCACATACCAAAACTCTAATGCACATATTGCTTTGTACCCTTTCCGGCAACAACAGAGGTGGATCTGTAGGAGAACCAACAATATGACAGTGTCCCTTGATGTAGTACGAATTAATAGGATATGGATATGAAGAAAGCAGTAATGAAACATGATCTGAGACATAAGGTGGGCAAAGAACAGGAACAATTCCCCTTGTGAAATACTATTCCAGCTTGATAAGTCAGGAATCTATATTATGGGCGTCACATGCCTCAGATCATTCACAACTTGATGGAACATTCACACTACACAAGAATGTGCGAGTCACACTCTAGCACAATTAGTACAAAGCCAGTACAAAATGATAGAGCATGTCTTGGGAATAGCAGAAGTGAAATTGTCCAAAAATTACCTGAGTGTTCTCTTGTAGTGAGGCAAACGGAGTAAACTGAAGCCTCAAGACCTTAAAATGTACAAGTTTGGCCTGGATGTTTTGTTTTCATTCGAGAAACAGTGACAATTTCAGTAACCTGACCTTAAAGAGGGACCCAAAAACAGGAGGAAATAAAAAGAAGGTTATCGCGCGAGAAGTTCGCAGCCAGACTGATAAATAATACATATTAATGCATACATGACAATAGCTATATGAACTTTGGCTGAGGAATCTATGTAGGATAGGGAAGAAGGTTGCAGCCAGACTGGAGAGGAACACCATGGAGCCACCGAAAATGAGTGGCTCTTTGTACATCAACACAACTCGGTGCGCGCTCGAAATCAAAGCGTCAAAGCATATGTGCGTGTGTGAAAAACAGTGGCGTGTTGATCCTGCAAGATGTGTGGGAATCCCACAAGAATCAAATGCCTAAAGGATCTCCTCCCCACTGAATCCAGTGGAAGCAAATCCCTGAGATGATAAACACAGTGAAAACAAAATCGAGCACCACAGGAAAATTGGGAATAAATCAACAGGACAAAAGCCAAACCAGAGCACTGGACCTAGGCGACGACTACGAACCTGACGGTGTGGTGGATGACGAGGACCTCCTCCTCCTACTCGATGTGGTGATTGGTGACCAAGGACAAGGGCCTCCTCTTCCCCTGCCCCCGCCACCTCATCAGCCGTCCCCTGCTCCTCCACAAGCACCAGAAGACCAGGCCACCCTTGCTCTCCCACGGCGGCGACCTGCGCCGGTCCTGAACCACAAAGTGCATCTCCCATGGCGGTGACCTGCGCCGATCCGGAACCACGACGCACGGCGGCTGCAACAGGCCATAGGCTCCTCTCGTGGATGTGACCCTGCCGCTCATCGCCGTGGAGATAGGTTGGCAAGGCAGTGTCTGATCTGATTCATCGTGTACAGAGCCTGGAGAGACCGCTTCGAGCTCTTGAATTACAAGATCGTGATCAGGTATATGCAGCATAATTAACTGAACTCGTTTCACCAGATGGAGAGAGTTGATGCAAAAACTCACCGAAGCAATCAGGCGTGTGTATATTTCGTGTGGAAAGTAAGTGTATGAGCTCTCGTTGTCAAAGATCACTCGAGTCAGTTTCCCAGCCTGCTCTCGCACATTAAGCTCCTGACCTCCATAGTTTACTTTCTGTAGTACCGTGCTGTACATGTCCCTGACAGTACACAAAATGCGGAACTGCAGTCAGATACGCGTTTTCATATAATGGATCGCCAGAGGTACAATATTTTTATGCATCGTAAAGGGAAATCTGTGTCACAGCGTAATGCATGGGCATACGCTAGTTTGATGGTGTGATGT